GAATCAGAGTCAAATGTCTCACTGGAGTGAAAACTGCCTGAGTCCTAATTCATGTTACTGTTAACCAAGAGAGCTGCTATTAAATCTCCATGTTTCTCCTATCAACAGACATTTCCTGAAGAAGTGCAGGTCAGCTAAAGCTCTGTGAAGCAAGGTTCAAAATGAAGGTAATCCTGTAATATGGCCCTTGCACAGATGGTCTGCAAATGAAAGGCCAGAACTGCCAGGTAAAATACAGTCTTCCCAGTAGAATCTGAATTTGAATATTACACTGAACATACTTAGAATCACTATTTATTTGAAATTCAGACATTACTGGGAAACCTGTGTTTCTGTTTGCTAAATGTGGCAACATGAGGCAAAGACAAATCAAGACAGTATAGTTTCAGTTGATATCATATCATGTCACTCTGCATCAAGCCAAGGCACCCATGGAAAGAATTCCATAATTTTTTCTGCTCCGTTTAATGACTTCTTTTTCTTACAAAATTATTAAACTTTCAAGGTCTGTAAACAACATTAAAAACAGGTAAAAGAACTGGAATTATACTCGTGTAAAGGGTTATGATGAATATTTAAAGACACATACCCCGGAAAATACATTACATCAACCCCTGTTGTTGAAAATAATTTAAGATGTAATAAACTACATGTACAAATGAGTCTTTCTTTGTAGTTGCATTGTTTGTACATTAACTGAGTGATAACCTATTAGCTCTATTTTTCCAAGTAATAAAACAATCATTGGGTAGAGCAGACACTTATATCTGTCTACTTAAAACTGCCATTGTTTTCTACAGGAAGCATTAATGTTTTTATTTGATATCTTTAAACAAGGCAAATACTTGATGTTTAAACTCACATGTTCAATTTCAGGAACAGACACTCCTACAAGGAAGTATTGTTCCAACTGCTATCATAAGATTCCATCCATTTGCCACAGACTTTACTCTTAATATTTTAAAAATGTTCCTCTTTACTTTTTCGGAGGGGTTATGTCCCATCCCCTGAAGGAAAATTGTTGCGTAAGACAGTTTACTTAAACAGTGTAAATACTTGGTCAATACTTCATAAAACCAAAAGCCCAATTAGACCAGGCCAAAATGCTAAGGTTCAATTAGTGATCTGGCCATTATTGATGCCTCTGGGTTCTGGAGGAAGCCATTCCAAACAATCAGATAAAATGACCAGTTTGATCTGAATTATCCAAAAATGTGTTGCTCTGGGGAGCTGATCTTTAAGATTAAGCTTACTTGGGCTTTTTAAATATATCACTTTGCCAAAGTCCCTGTGGAAGACATGAAGTCCTTGGTGAGAATTTTACTTGTAACTGAGTCATTTTTCTGACTATTGTGCTAAATCTAAACTGGCATAATTAACCTTTTCAAATTCGGCATTTAGAAGACTTAGCTGATTATTTTCTTAGTTTGCACCAGGAGTATGCTGGAACAGTTGGCACTGACATATTAGCTGCAGTCTTTGATCTACATAGTCCAAGTGCAAACATATAAACTCTGCTTTTGGAGAGGATGACCTACGTATTCAGGCCTGAATATAATCTTTATTAATAAGGGTAACAGCAGCGAAGGTTAACATTACTGAGCATTTTCTAGGTCCCTGGCACTGTATACCTATAGGTATGTTCAGTCATTTAACACTTCACCAACCTTATGAAAGCCTCCCTCCAATTTTATATGAAAGAAAACGCAGGGTGGTTAAGGTACTTGCCCTCAATTAGAGTAAGTATCCTCGGTAGTCAGGCGGCAGAATCCACCTGCTTCCCACAGTAATTTGCCTCTATAAGGGACTCAAAGAACAATGTAAAGAGCTTCTATATCTCTTCATACAAAGGCTGTCCCATGCCTTTCACCATGACTGCAGATTTCAGAAGAACAGGAGTCATTTGAATGAAAAGAATGCAGCTCTCCCTTGTGATTCCAACAGCTCTCCTGTAAACATGTGGGTATTTTTCAGCATATTTGTGATGAGGCTACTGAACATCCGAAGAGCTGTATAGGCACAGGGCAGTGGGGAGGGTCTCCCTCCAAGGCAAAGGGCATTTTTGGCAGACTGGGATTCTGGCTCTCCAGGTCTTGCTCATCAAGGGACGAGTAAGTATGGGAAAGGTGCTTGGGAATGGGGTTGACTGTACTCTTCTAGTGAGGGTAGACCCAAGGCAAGGGAAGTAGGATCAGGGGGCTTCTCTTACCTACAATAAGCTTATTTTGTCTTCCTTTAATTTTTAAAAAGGCCTTTAGAATGTTTCAGTATACCTTGGGTATTTCACTAAGGGAGTTTTGAAATGAGTAAGGACACCCTATCCCAAGGGCAGCAATGATGGTGGTGGGAACAAAAGAGAATGTAGAGGAAGCAGGATAGGACAGAACACTGGTTATTCATAATTCAGTGATCTCTGTCCTTGCTCCCTGTACAGATCTTGGGCCAACCTTAGAGACTCAGGCCTGGATCTTCATTCATATGTGGTATTCCTACATGCCTGTACTGGCCTGTGTTAAGAGTTATACCCGGGGGTAGGTTATGAAACAGTGGTGCTCACTTTCTGCCATAATGCTCCTCAAAGGGACTGAGACCACCCAAGGCTTATTTTCCTCCTTTGTTAAATTCAAGTGAACTGATGTAGACCTCTATCTATCTTGGCAGGACTGCTGATAATACATACATATTTTCAAGTGCCCATTACATGGACTTGAAGAAATGCTGTATGTATATTGAGAGGATTTGTTAAGCTAAAAACGAAAGCCCTGCTGGCTCAATCAAGTATCCATTTAAGGGTTTTACCCAACTTTTCCTGAAGTCTGCAATGCTGGAGGGAAAAATAGGAGAACACAAAAGAAACCATTGTCTGGTGACTAGCTTGCCAGGGAAGCTCCAGGACAAGCTTCCAGAACATGCCTGCCACTCTGCAGAGACCTCACCCCCTTTCCCCTTTAACAACACAGTGATTTCTTTTAGGAAAAAAGGTATTTCAGTTTGAAACCACCTTACTCTTTTATACAGAGACTCTTACGGCTATTTATGAAAATTTTTATATTATTTTCCTATCAATTTATGGTTTGTAGTTTTATTAACAAACTGTCCAGAAAAAGATTCTTTCACATTCATAAACTGCAGAGAAAGCTTCCCTTGGCTTCACTGCTCCCTGCGTGGGATAGCAACATGGAGACACAAGCAAAGGAAAGAGACAATATGTCCTCCAGGGTCTCAAGAGCCCCAGGACCAAGATCCATGATCCTACTGGCTCTGGTACACCTGCCACCTGGGAGAGGAAGATGGCAATGGGCAAAATTCTCTCAAGGGCAGAGCTGAACAGTAAGACTGGCAAAATCAGTCAGTCAATCAATCAATCAATCAATCAATCAATATCAGTCAATGAAATTTGAGTTCCTTAACAGGAGGGAAAATGCACATTGCTTGTTAGGATTAATCTAGGTTTTGGGTTTTGGGGTTTTGTTTTGTTTTTTACCAACTATCAGAGCTGTTCAAAATATTAAACACACATAAACAAATATATGGATAAAGGTGCAAAATCAGATTAGTCAACAAAATTTATCCATTAGCTCACTCGGGGCTTTCTACGCCTCCTGAAAAGACTTTCATTCCCTGTGGATTCTTAAATGTCTCTTGCTTGAGGATCAGGGAATTACCTAGGCAATCCAGCTAGAAAGGCTTTTACACTTTCAGGTCCAAGTGCTCTTCTCCCAGGTGAGGGCCACCAAAGCTGCCTGACTATTGCGGAAGCAACAGCAGACAGGTTAGTCTAAACCATGCAGATAACCAGGGCAAAAAGGCTTTCCCAGACATTAGCAAGTAGAAAAACGGCTCAAGCTGGCAAACTTTCTTTTTAAACTGAGTTGCCCTTTGTGAGCTGAGGGATGCCTCTAGCTTCTTCTCAAGGAGTTGTGACTTGTGGGGGCGGGGGCACATTTACAGGAACCCAAGCGATTCAAGACAGGAAACACATGAACTAAAGCTTGAATCGAATCCGCATGTACTATGTGGCTTTGGATCTTTCTTAAACAGACTGCTCATTTTGTTTACCAGCCCCCCCCCCCCGTGCCTGGTGCCTTATCCACAGTCCTTTATTGGGCTGCTTTTTTGTCCGAATTAAAAAAGAAAAAAAAATCTAGGTTCCCAATTCCAGACTATGATGTCTGATTCTATCACAGTTCCCTGGCTCCATTCTCGCCACAGCAGTTGTCTGCCAGAGGTCCAGAGACTCTAGAGACTCATGAGAAGGGAGTGCAGACCTTTGAGTGTGAGAGGTGGGGAATCTGGAATGGACAGAAGGGACATGCGTCCTAGTTTCAATCAAGTTACTGGCTTCTTCCAGGGGGTTCATTTTTGGAAGGCTCCCAGGCTACCGGATAGACCTGCCACTGTCCAGCAGTGACCGCAAGCTGGACCCCACCCGGACGGATCTTCCTGGGACTGTGGTGCCGCATCATCCCCCAGGTAGAAAGGGTGAGCTGGGGACTCAGAGACAAGGTCCTGGGAGCGCAAATCAACACAACTAAACACGCACTCACTGTTGAAGCCTTCCTAGACCGGGCTTCATTCCACCCCTGCCCAGGCTTTGCATTCTGCCGGGAATCGAACATCAGCAAGTATGGCCTGGAACTCTGGCAGGTGCGCTCAGAGACCCGGGGAAAAAGAAGTCTTGGGGAGCAGCCCAGAAGCCGGTTTCTTGAGGTGGGGCTCTAACGCGCTAGCTAGTCAGCCACCTGTTCCACAAAGCCGGAGTTTGTGGGGTGCTCAGGCTGCTTCAGGAAGGACCCAATCATCCCTCTCCTCTAAGACCGCTAAAGGCGCGCACGTCAGCACCCCAAATCTAAGTGCGCAGATACCTGCGCGCACCCCTGCAGACGCACCACCCTCCAAAGGCGACTGATTTCCGTGTCCCCGCTTCGGCGGCGGGGACCCGGGTGCTGGCCACCGCGACCCGCGCCGCGCCGGGCTCTTCAGAGGACCTCGCCAAGTACCTGCGGTGAAGATGCAGAGAGCGATGAGAGCCTTGTAGACCATGATACCCGTGGCTCCGTGCGGAGCTGGACACTGTCAGGGAAGAGTTTTCTGGGTCTGGCCAAGCACTGCAGGCGTGGCCAGCTCCTCTTCTGCCCCTTGGGTGGCGGTAAGAGCCGGGAGGTACCGAGGCTGGTTGGTGGGCTCGATGGGTCCGGGCAGCGCCGGTGGCAGATTGCGGGAGGCGAGGCGAACGTGGCAGCTCAGTAGGTGTGTGCCCTGCGGCGCCCGGAGCACGTCTGCTCCATCGCAGCGGCGGGAGCCCGGGCCGCCTCCGCAGTCGCCAAACCCCTCCCACCCGGCCCAGCGGCGCTGGCGGGGCCACCCCCTGGCCTTCCCTCTCTCTGTGCTTAGGTCCCAGGAGTCCCAGCCCAGGGCGGCCTCTGCTGGACAATCTGGTCTGGCGGCCTGAGCTTTCAATGAATTCAAAGCTTGGAGAGCTTTGCACTGTACTGGGAGCTATGGCAAAAGCAAAAGTGTGAGCAAGTGTGACTGTGTCTCTGCCTTTGGAAATCCAGCTGGGCTTCTCTTATGCCAACTTAAACCAACAGGTTTCTTTCCAAGTGTGACATGAAGACTCTTCGTTTCTACAAACAACCCTCTCTGTATGTTAAACTCACCAGGCATTCAACTCCACTGCACTTCCTGGTTCCTGAGCCAAGTGTCTGCTGCCTTACCCAGCTTATCAGGAGTAATAAAACTGACATGACATTGATCACTAGATAACTGAGCCAGGCATCTTACTAGTAACTATTGGAGTTCTTTCTATTAACCCAATGGCATAAGAATTATTCTTTCACAGCTAAGAAAATGAAGGCACAGAGAGATAAGAGATGTGCTTATGTTTGAATAGTTGTAAGAATAGTTTGTGCACCAGGCTCATAATAACAAAAGTTGACACTTCCTGAGTGATGGCCCTGTGCTAGGCTCTGGACAATGTGCATTCAGGTAGTGCCCAAGTCATTTACTTCCCATATCATTTGAGGTGGGTACTATTGCAACCTCATTTTTCAGGGAGGGAAGAAGTTTAAGTGCTTGCCCAGAGTACACAGTAAGCAAACCGCAATAAGGTACTTTCCCGAGGAACTGGAGAGATGACTCAGGGATTAAGAGCACTGGCTGCTCTTGCAGAGGACCTGGGTTCAGTTCCCAGCACCCACATGGCGGCTAACAACCATAGGTAACTCCAGTTCTAGGGGATCCAACACCCTCTTCTGACCTGCCCTGGCATTGCATGTCACAGGTGTACTTACATACATGCAGGCAATGCACTCATAGACATAAAACAAAAATAATGAATAAAATACTTAAAAATATGCTTCCCTGAGCTCTTTCATTGTTCTTGACTACCTCTCCCAACATCAGAGCTTCTCCAAACTGCAAGTCAAATTTACCCTTCCACTTAATTCCTTCCCCTTAGACTTGCTTAGTTTTCACACCTGCTATATGCCAGGTCCTTTCAGTGCAATTGTGAGCCTCATGGCCCCTTAGTCACTAGGGATTGGAGCTGTAAGAGTTCAGGAATTTTCCTAAGGAACTGAAGTGCTTAGTGCTAATTAGTAGCTCTGCAAAACAGCTTCCTCTGCTTTTTCCTCCTACGCCAGGGGCTCTTTTTTCTTTCTTGGTCATGGCTCATCACGTTATCTGTGGTCAGGTCAACTCTAAGTCGACCTCACCATCACCACTTGCAGATCTTGCATATATTTCCACAACAGAGTAAACTGAGCTCTTAGTTTTCTTTCTTCTTCGAAATTGTATCGGTGCAAAATAAAAGGTACTACAAACAAGTACCCAACCACTTTACCTGCATCCCTGGTCAGAAAAAATAACTGCAACTTCAATCTGTTAAACATATTCTCTGAAGCCTTTTGGTCTCAAGTCCTTCCACTCTCTACCATAACCTGTGTGATTATGAAGCCTTTCTGCATCTGGGTTTTGGTTGTCATGGAGTCTGGGACCACACACAGATGGAGCATCGCAGGGGCAATCTTCAAGGCACTGGTACTTTTATATAGAGTGATTTAAGTAAGTGACTCTGGACACATGTAAAGGTGTTTGAAAACTACTTCACAGACAAATGTATTCAATTGTAATTCAACAAAACTTTAATGGGGTCCCTCTGGAGTGCAAAGCATGCACCACTCTAACTTTGAGCTAACTCAAAGAATGGTGAGCCTTATATACCGATCAATGAACATTGTTAAGACTTCTGATTCTATAAGGAATTGAAATAATTTAATTAAAATTTTCTTTTTAAATTGCTGGTGAAAACTTTTTACTTTATCAATTTAGTCAAAGTTTGTTTACTATTTGCTGGGCCTTGTGACAGGCCGTGGGACTATCATGGTTGTAATATCTGGAGTAGGTTAAAGTTGTGCTGCTGCAACAAAATATCCCCAAGTCTCAGACCTACGCAGTAACACTTAATTTACCTTCAAAGTTTTCTGTGGCTCTGGGGTACTACTCAGTACCAGGACTGTCCTGGGACTTGGTGTTGTCCTACCACATGGACACCTGTTCTTACGTTTAGAAAGATAGGGAAAGAGTAACTTGGACAGCTAAGTGCACCATTTAAATCTTCCATCAGGAAGGGATACCTAAGTTTGTATTTTGTTGGTTAAAGCAGGGCTTCTTAAATTTTTTCTACTTACAACCCTTTTTATTTGCCAGAGAAATTATGTGAACCCCAAATATATATAGGGGGTCACATAAAGATTTGCATACTAGGTATACAAATTGTACATTTACTGATAATAAATCATAAAAGATTCATTACAATTTTTAGAATATATATAATTTTGTTGTTTATTAAAGGTGAAAGCATATATGCACACCAATGACATAGACACACTTGTTGACTTTTACATAAAGGATCAAATCAAACCTTGCTTAAATATTTGTTACTGCAGGTTATGGAGCATCTTCAACATTTTTCAGAGGTGATTAATGTTTGTAAATTTTATTTTTCCTTCTTTGACAGATTCATGCATGTGTGTAATGAATTTTAGTCCCTTTCAAACTGTACTACCCTGTCTCATCCCCTTCTGAAATCCTTCTTTTAAATGCTGAAAATTCCACTTCACATAAGTGCTCAGTACAAAATGGCAGAAGTAGGCATGCTGGATGGCTTCAGTGTCACCTTGACACACCTGGGAAGAGGGAACCTCAGTTGGGGAATTTCCTCTATCGGATCAGCCTGTGGAAATGTCTGTGAGGCATTTTCTTGATTGTTGAGTGATGTAGGGGGCCCAGTCCAGTATGGGTGGTGCCACCCCTGATCAGGTGGTCTTGGGTCATATAAGAAGGCAGGCTGAGCATAAACGGGAGGAGCAAGGCACTAAGTAGTGTTCCTTCATGGTCTGTGCTTCAGCTGCTGCCTCCGGGTTCCTGCCCTGGTTTCCCTCCATGATGAACTGCAAGCTATAAGGTGAAATAAACATTTTCCTTCCCGACATACTTTTGGTCAGTGTTTTATCACAGCAATAAAAAAGCTAGCTGGGACAGTATGTTTAGGACCATTTGAAAAATTGTTGGAGTTCCTGTCCTAATCTCAAGCCAAAATTCATTTAACAGTTTTTAAAAGTGAAACTATTCAGCAACTCAAGCAGCAATGTTAAAATCCAAACATTCTAACATGATACAAGCCAAAGATGTATAATTTGATACTTATATGTTGAATTGACAGTACGAAAAAATATCTTTTTTTCTTTAATTAAACTCTCATGTTTCTCTAAGAGAAGAAACATTATGTGTATAGTAAAAACAGTGCCATTCATGCCATTCGACAGTCTGGAATATGACCTGAGGTGTTTCAAGCTGTGTTCCCTGGCATTATGTGGCATGATGGCACCTACAGTGCAAAGTGCTTGTGTTACAAGTTCAGAATCATGGCTATGGTGACGTCTCAAGAAGCAACACAGCTAAGCACTGCGAGAAACACCTTGGATTCATTACCTGTTTCATTTTGAATACATTTTTGGATTGTTGTATATTCAGAAACCATTTATTATTGTCAATTTTGTTACAACCCTCACATTCAGTCACATGACTGTATATGGTTTTCATCCTCAGTTTAAGGAGCTATGGCCTAAAGAAAGTCAATGGTCATACCTGACTTCAAGAAAACAAAGAAGCTTAATCTACTCGTCTGACCAGATAAAGAAGGAAAAGGATAACAGCAGAGAATTGTGATGCGTGCCACAGTTATTATTACCCCTGCCATCAAGATGCTTGCATTTGTGTAGTGGGGTGTCAAATACTGAAATAAACAGCCAAAAAAAAAGTGCAACAAATCATTTAAGTGGAACAAATAATAATACTCACCAACATCTGATGAGCTTCTGCTATGTGTTAGGAAACTTTCTGAGTTGTGTGTAAAAACACTCATTTGTTTACACTTGGGATACTGTAAGAGGCCAGAATATGTCACTCTCAAATGTGCCTCCTTGGCATAATGATTATTTTGGGAAATAGTGAAAAATAAGAGAATAAAGTAGAAGCCATTCTTTGTAGAGGAGGATTTGGGAAGCAAACCTCCATTTGTAAGGGTGTCTCTGCATTGGTGTTAAGAAAGAGAAGGGTGACTAAATTATTAGACGCTTATCAGTGGGGAAAGTTGTGGGTTAAATCTGTAGAACAAATCTCACACTGCTTTCCCAAGCTTTTGCTGCTCACTTGCTTTCCCTCAACACTGTGATTATTATTAGAACTGCTATTATTTTGTTTCAGTTGGAGATTGCAGTTAAGCCTGAGTTCAAAGCCTCCTTGTTGAAAGTTACTCATTTCGCAGGCCTCTCCATGTATATATTGACTATATACATTCTTAAATACGTTTTTCTCTTGTTAATCTGCCTTTCATTAAATGGGTCCAAGCTAAGCTTTTCTAAAAGATAAAAAAAAAAACTTAGCCTGCCTCTCCTGTGATACTACTAATTTTGAAAATAAAAAAAATTAAGAAACTTAGAGTTTAACTCTCTAGGAAACAGAAGGATCCTAAGACATGTAATAGAGGGGAACATGAACTTAGTGGAGTTGGGGATGAAATTTGCACGTAGCCCTTTATGCCTTGTAGCAAGAACCATTTTCTTCACAGAGTCCTCTTGTTTCTTTTATAACACCCCAGTGGAGTCAATTCTGAGATAAGTCTGCTTTTTGCTGGTTTCGTTCTTTTTTGATCATTGCTAAAATGAATTTCTAGTGTAATGGACTTCTAATATTTTATAAAAACATTGCCCTTGACTGGCTTAGTTTTTGACATCCTGAATT